CCCTCTTCCACTTTCAAGCCATCACCCCTTGTTCTCTCACTCCCTGCCCTTGGCCAAAGTCCCTCCCCACCCTTCCTGGAGCCCCTTCAGGTACTGGGAGGCCACTAGAAGGTCTCCCCGAAGCCTTCTCTTTTCCAGGCTGAACAGCCCCAACTCTCTCAGCCTGTCCTCACAGCAGAGCTGCTCCAGCCGTCGCATCATCCTCGTGGACCTCTTCTGGACTCGTCCTAACCGGTCCATGTCTTTCTTATGTTGGGGGCTCCAGAACTGGATGCATTATCTAGTTCCAACTACTCCAACCTTCCACTCGACCAAGTTGCCCAAAGCCTGGGTGGGTTCATCCACAATTACTCTGGCCAACCTGGGACACTGTCTCCCCACCCTCACAGCCAAGAATTTCTTCCTCACATCTCAGCTCCATCTCCCCTCTTCCAATTTAAAGCCATTCTCCTGCCTTCTCTTACCTCATTGTGTTGGTGAGGTCTCTGGTTTGCACGATACAAGACCACAGGGCATTTCAGAAACACCACTCAAGTTTCCCTGGGCAATAGCATCTGTTTTTGGCAGAACAGTGGAGGACAAGTCCTTACTCCTGGCCTGCACCCTAGGCAGTTCAGTGAGGCTGGATTCTGCGTTTGTCTTGTACAAGAATTTATGACTTTAGAGGTACACAGCAACCTCTGAGCTCTGCCTTCAGCAGATGGCATGGTCCTGTCACACGGGCCTCAAGCAACCTTGCACAAACCTAACACCACCATACAACCATAGGTAACAAACCATGGGAGATGAGATATAACAAAGTCACTCACTACTTTCCAAAGAGCTCCTGGGTGGGGTGGGGTGGGGTGGTAGGTGAAACAGGGCTCCAGTTAAACCTTTAGCATCTCTCCTGACTAGGTCCTCCTTCAAATCTCTTTACTGTCTGATCTTCAAGCATTTACCTCTGGAGAAACAACAACCTCCCCTGCTCCTATGTGCAATTCTGGCTTCAGCTGTGAGGACATGAGCTTGGAGAACATCTGGACACATTACTGTTCCTGTGCCCAACCTCTCAGATCCTTAGGACATTCCCAGTGGGCTTCAGCCAGTTTCCCTGCTGTGAATCACAAGTCTAAACTGGAGACCCTGCTTGGGCATCTATAGAAAAAGTAAATATAAAAAGAAATAGGAGAAGCACATTAAAAAGAAGGAAAGTGAGAGCACAAAAGGTTTCACAGGAGAAATCTTGATTACTAAGCCAAACCATGCCAGCAATCAGCCAAGACATCCAACAGCCAACTCATGGAGTCATCATATTGTGTGACATTGCAAGAGATGGAACTGTTACCACTCCTACACTCTTGCTTGATAAAGAAAGTCTGCAGTGGAGGGAAGGCTAGAACCCCCTTTCCCAAGCCTCTGGCTTTGACAAAAGATAGGAGATGGTCAAACAACTGACCCTAGGGAGCAGAAATCATCTACAAATGGGCAAGGGTTTGTGGGGCTGCAAAGCAAGGTTGATGCAACAAGGTTGATCTCAAGAGCAAAGAGAACTGCAGGAAGACATGTCCCACCAGCACATAAAAGTAAAGAGACTCTTTAAAATTGAAGTGACCAAAGAATCTACATCAAAATAAGGAAACCAGAATTATTATTATTTTTTTTTAAAAAGGATACATAATTTAGTATATTTTATCGAGCTTGCTGGACATGGTACTGAAGCACTGTAAAGCTGTCAGAGAAATTATATACTTTTTTTTCCTGTTGTCAACCAAAGCGTGCTTTTATGGAGTCAATTAGCCACAAATTATGAACACACATCACTTGTCTGAGAATGAATTACAGTACAACCCAATAAACATAACTGTCTTTGCTCACTGGTCATTGCTCTGATGAGGAGGCCGTTGGACTTTCTTATCCAACCATAAAGGAAACTTCATGTTCATTTGTGTTTTGGTCTTGTGAACGTGCCTTTTTTTGAAGTGCTGCAGTGCTCCAGTGTGAGGGGAAATGGGGTCATTGGTGTTACTGCTCTGACGTGCAAACCTGGACGTGAGCTCAGTGTGTAAAATGCAATTACGTTGGTGGAAAGAATCTGTATAAGCTGGGATGGCATGAGTGCTTGGATCTACAACGGAGCCTATAGCTGCTGTCGCATTCGATAGAGAAGTGCAGCCAAAGTCATCTTTACAGAGTATATTGTGTGCCCTCCACAGACCTCAGAGCCCTTTTTAAAGGTGGAAAGCCACAGTCTGAACAAGTTTGTAGGTATTTTTTTGTTTGTTTGGGAGGGTTGCTTTTCCTTTTTTTTTCTTTTTTCTTTTTTTTTTTTTTTAAACAGTTGGGGAAACTGAGGCACGGAAAGGTGGTGTGACTTGCCCACAGTCGGTAGTAGACCTTGAATCCCTTGGTCTTCCTTTCAGTTTCTCAGGTCCCACCTGGTATATGGTGAGAAGGAAGGGTTGCCCACTTGTTCCCAAGGTGAGGAGAACCACATCTCCTCCTGGGGCAAAGGGAAGGGATGTCACCATCAGCAGCGATGTCTGGCAGGGGGACAATAGCACACGTGGTTTCTACCAACCCCAAGAGGCAAGAGAAGCAAGGAACCTGAAATGGAGAGGCAGGAGTTTGCTGGTCAGGCACTGAGAAAGAGGACACGGCTCTACAGGATGCATTCATGCCTCTCTGTGGCTTTCAGGGCCTCGTGCATGCTGGCAGCGGACAGCCTTCTGTTGATGTTCCTGTACCTGCACCTCAGGAGGTTCCAGAAAGTAGTCCTCAAGTCTCGGTTAAAGAAAGCATAAATCAAGGGGTTGATGAGGGAGTTGGTGTATCCCAGCCAGAGCAGAGTCCTCTCCAGCCTCAGGGGCATGCAGCTGCAGCGGATGCCACAGATGAAAGGCCGAGCTGTTGACATCAAGAAGAATGGAAGCCAGCAAAATGTGAATGCCCCCACAATAATGCCGAGGGTCCTGGCTGCTTTCTGCTCCCGTTTGAAGATGGAAATATTCTTTCGGTCTTGACGGAGCAGTTTGGAGAGAGTGGCACATTCCTCCACTGCTTTGGTGCGCTTGGAGCTGTGGTGGCTGCGGCTGGAAGACTCCAGGCAGTAGACACCTTCTTCTTCATAGTGCTTGGGGAAGTTCATGAAGCGGTGTTTCTCAGCACTGACCTTGGCAGCTTTGTAGATCTGGCTGTACATGACGAGCATGACCGCCATGGGGATGTAGAAGGCAACGCCCGTGGAGTAGACCGTGTACCCAAAGTCCTGGCTGATGAGACAGACTCTTTCTACGGTGACATTCTTAGCCCAGCCAAAAAGAGGAGGAAGGGTGATGGAGGCAGACAGGAGCCAAACGATGAAGACCATCTTGGCCATCAGCTTCCCATTTTGTCTCACGGGGTATGTCAGTGGTCGAGTGATGCCCAGATACCTGGAAAAGAGAAGAGTTGCAAAGGGTTAGGAGGGTTGCAAGGTGTCAGTGCTGTTGGGTGGTTTTCATTCCTTATCAGCTGTTAATGCTCTGTCACAGGAGAATTTTGGCTCTGGATGGGGACACATTTCAGACTCTTCAGCTCTCTTGCCTAAACACTCTGTTGAAACTGTTCTCCACCACGTTCTTGCAACCACTCCATGCAGGACATGAGATGTCATTAAACTGCTGAGTGCAGTGTGAGCTCCACATGGTTTTCTGGAGAATAAAAATACTTTTAAAAGCTTTGTTTTCCACCAGAAATATTTTGAACAGAGAACATCCAACAACTTCCATCCATGGCATGTAACTCAGTCTAAATTGTTGCCCTCCCAAGGAAACACCCAGGAGTGAGATGGGTAATCCACAGAGTAATACTCGCACCAGGACTGATTCCAGATGAAATTAATAGACTCATACCAGTGTTTAACGGGAAGCAGGATGGACAACATCCTTCTCTTTTTTGACCAGGCAACTTAGGAACTCAGGGAAGAAATACAACCTGCAGCTGAGATGTTCCTGAGGCAGTGTGAGCAAGGAGCAATCTTGCCTTTAGGAAGACTGTTGGTGCAGAAAGCAAAGCTAGTGATCAGGTGATGGACTGTGGTGTAAGACTGACAGCCTTTGACTCACACCTTCTTCCAGCCGATGGACTGTGTGTTTGCATCTTGCAGCACTGGCAACCATGGGAGACACCGCTGTCAGCAGCACATCCCATCGTTCCCCTCTCCATCCAGCCTGAAATATTAGGACAAACCCACAGATTCCTGCAACATCTACTGGAGATGACCTCTAGAAACCAAGACAGCAGCAAGACAACTGAAGCAGTCTGCTCCCTTGCATGACTCATAGCTCCTGAAGTAATGTTGTCCAGCCCTCTCTGGGGAGTAAAATGAGAAGAGCACCAAGTAGGAGATACCAAAAGCATGTGGTGATCCATAGATTCACAAACCGTGATGCCTAGAATTAGGAGTTACCTTGTTAGCTTGACTGAAAGGAGATGGAGACTGCATCACCCATCAGCTCTTGCTCAGACTATGGGATGGAATTTTGAACCATCCCGAGCCTTGATTGAGAGGGTTCGTGTGAATAAGAAATTGTGTTGACTGTTAGTTGGTAAATTACAATTGTAAACTAATAAATCAGTAGGGAGTTGGCCACTGGCAGCCAATGTTCCCACTGAAAAACTTCTGCCTCCTATTCAGTCTCAATCAGTCCAGCAAAACCCACCAGGTGTCAGGTGGATTTCTTTTATATGACAGCCTTCTTGATTCCAACCTGCCTGTTGTTAGGAATTTCTAGGCATTTTTAGGCAGGACCACATCACAGAATCCCAGAATTGCCTTGATTGGAAAAGAGCTTTAAGATCATTGAGTCCAATCATGAACCCAACACTGACAAGTCCCCTATGACTAACCCATGTCCCTCAGCACTGTGTCTACACGACTCTTCAATCCCTCCAGGGATGGGGACTCCACCACTGCCCTGGGCAACCCCTTCCAATGCCTGACAACCCTTGCAGCAAAGAAATTCTTCCTCACATCCCATCTCAACTGCCCTGAGCACAACCTGAGGCCATTTCCTCTTGTCCTGTCACTTGGTCCTTGGTTGAACAGACCCACCCCACCTCTCTCCACCCTCCTCCAAGGTCTCCCCTCAGCCTCCTTTGCTCCAGCCTCAACAACCCCAGTTCCCTCAGCCGGGAACTCATCACACTTGTGCTCCAGACCCTTCCCCAGCTCTATTGCCTCGTAATTATTTCAGATAAGCTGTGTCAGTCCAGAGGGACAGCGAGAACGGTGGCTTTATGGATACTTTTTGCTGAAAGCTTTTCCAGGGAAAAACAAGCTTTTCTGCCAGAACAAAAATTTCTGCAGAGAATTTTACCTCTGTTGTATCATTATTTTTTCCAACAATCAGTCTTATTGTAGGTGTTAGGAGATTTTTTTTTTTCTTCCCTGATTATTTCCCTTTTCCAGATCCTCCCCCAGGACTGGAAGAAGATGGAAATTAAGCTAAAAATAATTCCAATTCCTCCTCCTCTCCTGACTGCTAAAGAAATTCAAAGCCTAAACTATTCTCCCCTGACTCCCTGATAAAATTAATTTGAACTCATTCACTGAGTTATTCTTTTCCTGTTTTCCTCTGGATTCTCTTCAGCTGGCCTTACTCATCAAAAGCAAGCAAAATTCTCCATGACCACCTACGCTTCTTCAATGCCCAGCAGTGGTACAGGCTGAAGGACAACATTTATGGATGCAGAGGCAACGCAATCTCTTGGGAAAGAGCTTTAACTCCATCACCCCGTGGGGCTCTGTCTACCAATGAGGAGACCTGATGAGTTGGAGATAGACAACAGCATTGGTTTTTGATGCTGTCTTTCCAAAACATACCATTGACTCCTTCCTACCTGGCCTGAGCATAGCAAGAAGTGATGAGCCTGGTTGGAAGATCAGGACTCAAGAGTGATGGGTGGGAGCAAGTTAGAGGGATGCTGCCAAATATTCCTCCTGCTGTAGGAGGACTTGATGTCCCTGATGCTGGCAGAAAATGATGCTCTGCTGTTACATCGCCAAATTCAACACCTAAAAAAAAAATCACTTCTCTATATATCCAAACCAAGAACTTTGCAAACTAATGTATGCTGTGGTGTGTGATATCCTTTCTTCTGTTATTACCAGGTTTTCTTTAGAAGCTGATCCAGGCAGGATTTGCTGAAACTTCAAGGAATTTACACGCTAACCAAGCGAAATGCACAGTGACAAGATTTAAAAAGCAGGGAAAGCTGACACGTTTCCTCTGCGGGTGCCTTGTGCAGTCGCTGCTGGAGGAAATGGGGCTGTTTTGAGGTCTTTTTGCTTATAATTTTGATGAAAGTGGAAAGACCTCAAAATAGGCCAGCGATTACAGCAGTGCAGGAGGCGAGATTGCATGGACTTGCAATGAAATTTAAATCAAATTATCTTGCTGTGATTCTTTTTTATTTTTCCTTTTTTTTTTTGCATGTGTGGCTTGTTGTTAATCAAGTTCATTGGTAATCAGGTGACAAAAGCCACTTCCCAGAGCAGAGATTTACCACCAGTCTGTGCAGCTTTGCAGAACCCCCACCGTGCAGAGCTGGTTGTGTAGCCACTCATTCCTTGTGCAATAAATTCCTTCCACATTCTCACTCCCATGGATGCCTGGGCAGCACGAGCCCTGGTCATAAGGTGACAGATCTGCTCCAGGCTGGACTTCACCATCAACCCCATGGATTAGCCAATTCAGTTCATTTATTCTGCGCTCAATGGTAATTGTTGAATCCTTATGCCAGGGATTAAATAATAAAAAAACCCACAAAACATCTCCAAGGTGCCCCTATCTCCATCCTGCACCTGGCAAAAGGGGAAAGGACAAATGAGACCTACTGGAGCCAGTGCAGAGGAGGCCACGAGGATGATGCGAGGGCTGGAGCAGCTCTGCTGTGAGGACAGGCTGAGAGAGTTGGGGCTGTTCAGCCTGGAGAAGAGAAGGCTCCAGGGAGACCTTCTAGTGGCCTCCCAGTACCTGAAGGGGCTCCAGGAAGGCTGGGGAGGGACTTTGGCCAAGGGCAGGGAGTGAGAGAACAAGGGGTGATGGCTTGAAAGTGTCAGAGGGGAGATGGAGCTGAGATGTGAGGAAGAAATTGTTTGTTGTGAGGGTGGTGAGCCAGTGTCCCAGGTTGTCCAGAGAAGCTGTGGCTGCTCCTCCCTGGAAGTGTTTGTGGCCAGGTTGGATGAGGCTTTGAGCAACGTGGTCTAGTGGAAGGTGTCCCTGCTGCTGGCAGGGGGGTTGGAACTGGGTGATCTTTAAGGTCCCTTCCAACCCAAACCAGTCTGGGATTCTATGGAAAGCTGAACAACCCAAAGGGGTTTTTTTCCTTCTTGTTTTGTTTTTAGTTTGTGTCAAAAAAGAATCTGTAACATTGGTTTGCTCTTATATAGGAAAAACGTAGGAGAAAGATGGATGTTTCCAGCATTTTTCTTTTTGGATTTTAAAGAAAATCAATCAAACCTCCCTTCAGACAAGATCAGTTCCACCACCTTCAATCAAGAGGCTTTTAGAAAGCGCTCTGCATTAATAATCAATAATAGTAGCCTACATTTTAATAGTACCTGTCATCTTGGGCAAACCAAGCATCTTCTATATCTAAGCAAACCAAAAATATGAAGACACTTCAGCCATCAATAAAATCACAACCTCTTCTTTGGCAGGAGCAGGCACTTGCCCTAACAGTGCTGACCAAGTTGGCATTCAGGACAGAACTAGAAGAGATAGTTGTATTTCCAAGAAGCAGCAGGGTAAGAGGAACAGCTTGCTGTCATCACTGGTGGACACTTCAGTTAATGCCTCACTGAGAGGAACAACCATTTCAGATCTTTTGGAGCAGATGTTTCGGGCTCTCTGCAAACTCAACTATCTTTTGCTTTCTTTGTATCAGCACAGAAACAGAAAAGTGTGCTTTTGGAGATGCTTCCACCAGAAGCTAAACCAAAAATTTTGCCTATTGCAAGGCTGAGGGAAAGTGATAATCCAGGCATGGTGCTGGATCTGTGCTCTCCTTCAACTGCCTTTTGGGAGCAGTGAGGTGATGTGGAGCAATGATGACTTATAGGATGCTCAAGATACTGCCTCAGGGCAATTTACACAACTCACAGCCAGTTCCTGAGGGCTCTCAGGGCAGAAAGCAGCAACCCCGTGTGAAGGAGACTCCTCTTTCACACATCAGAGGACATCCCAATTACTCCCTTTCCCTCTTCAAGCCTTGGTATGGACTGAACCCACTAGTCTCCCTGCACTCACAGCACATGTGGGGAGGACTCTCCACCCCCTTTCCTCTGCCCTGCCAGTCCTCCTGCTGCTCAGATCACAACCTTTGCTCTTTTTGCCTTTTCCTGTGTCTTGGGCAATTGTCCTCTCACCACTCAACTTCCCCATCAGGCATTTGCTGGGGGAATATAAAGGTCTGAGAACAAACAGT